CCCCCAACCCCTCCAACTCTAAGGGAGTGCCATGCACTCCACCCTTGGAAGTCAAGGCCCTCCCTACTACATCTAGGTTGAACAAGGTTTACAGCCAAAGAAAATAGAATCCCATGAAGCCGGTATGTGCAGTAGAGATACATCCCAGTGTCACTATCAGTGGCCCCTCAGTCTGCCCCAGCTGTCAACCCCCTTCAGAGGGGTTTGGTTGTTCCCATGCTTGTTCACTCCAAGTCCAGTTGGAGTTGGTGAGCTCCCATTAGCTCAAGCAAACTGTCTCAGTGGATGACCCACTCGTGGTCTTGACTTCCTTGCTCATACTCTCACTCCTTCCACTCTTCAACTGGATCTTGGGAGCTCAGTCCAGTGCTCCGATGTGGGTCTCTGCCTCTGTTTCCATCTCTTGTTGGACAAAGGTTCTATGGTGATATTTAAGATAATCATCAGTCTGACTACAGGGTAAGGTCAGTTCAGACACCCTCTCCTCTATTGCTTAGGGTCTCATCTGGGTTCATCCCTGTGGATTCTTGGGCATTTTTCTAGAGTCAGGTTTCTTGCTAACTCCATAATGGCTCCCTCAATCAAGATATCTCTTTCCTTGCTCTCATGTCTGTCCGTTCAACGATTTTTCAGTTCACATGGACCAAAGCAAGTTCTTCTATATATCATTAGGAAATCAGATGATGGGCCAACCCAAATTTCTCCTGGTTTGACTCTGATGCTGCCACCACCAGTGGCCTCCTAAAATTGCAGCAATAATGCAAAGGAAAATGAGAAAAAGTCACCATCTGACTGAGAAGAGCTGACGGGCCTGGCAGTGGCAAGGGCAGAGGTGGATGGAAGGGAGGACAGAGGACAGAAGTGAACTCGTTCAAACACAATACACTTGTAACAAGTGAGACAGGGACGGGGTTCCCTGTAGAACAGAGAGCATAGTTCAGGATCCTAGTGGAAATAATGGCCAAGAGGGCTTAAATAAAAACCGGGTGATAATGGAGAGAGCTCGAGTTACCTCCACGGAGGGAGGAAGAGCGCTTAGCTTGTCGGGGACACTTGGGGAACTAGAGGCAGAGAGTAGCACCATGCAGTATGAGTGTTTGGGGGTAGGTGAGGTCCAGGATCTAAGATAGACATCAGATAAGAACCTCAGAAAGAGGCCAAAACCAGGTGGCTCACACCTCGTTTACTGTTATGGAGCTTGGTGCTCTCTTATGCACAAAAGCAAAAGATTTTTTGGATGCAAAGTCAGTGCTGCCAACCAGAAAAGGTGAAGTTTCCAGGGAGTCCTGGAGTCAAAACGAAAAAAAAAAAAAAGAAAAGAAAAGGCATCTAAATGGGGGAGGGGGGTAAGATAGAGTTCTTTCAGCTGGCAGGTTAAACAGGCACCCCAACTGGAGTCCTAGTTCCTTCCTGTGGGCCACACCTCTCCTCACAAGTTTGTTTTGCTATTTGTGTAGCTCAGGTAGATGCCACTACAGGTCTGTCCTCCGGGCCTGGGCTGTGACAGCTTATAGCCTGGCCACTCGGTGAAGGCTGTCCAACAGTCCCAGACAGTTTGGCCAGCTCTCACCCCAGAGGCGTCTGTTTCCCTTGCCCTCCTGGTTAATAGTCTGAGGCTGGGAGTCTCCCTTGGAGTCTGGGCACAGAAGTGCACCTGTCCTTCCTTGGGGAGACGGCAGGCTGTGCAACTCACTTGCATCCTCCCCCTCAAGAGGTAGCTGCCTTGGGCTGCGGTGGGTGATCCCTGACAGCCTGTCATCCCCCTTTTCAAAAGAGAACAAGAAAGTTTTGATTCCACAAGGCCATACTTTCCCAACATTGGGGGAAATCTGAGGCATCACAGACCCACTCCTCATTACGATATTTACTTCCCAAATGCCAGGAAGACAGATGGACACACATGTAATTTCATCCAGATCTGCGTGACCTCAGAGCTAGGCCTACCTCACACCAGGATGCTAAACCTCTGCCCTGTCCTAAGTGGAGATCCAACGTGGTCCTTAATTAAGTTCTTCCTGACCACTGGCCGCAGGTGTGCACTTCAGCGGGTCTGTGATAATGCCAGCCTCCGCGTTTTCCAGGCACATCTGCCCTGAGCTCAGCCCGACCGGGAAGTCCCCCTCCCGCCCCCCTTTGCGTGGCCCAGGATTCGCCTGTTGGGCTGCAGAAGCGCTGCCAGGAAGGTCACGTCCAACGCTCACCCACCCAGCCCCGCAAGTATAAAAGGAGGGAGGAGAACAGCAGGGACCAAACGGGCGGCGAAGGAGGAGAAAGAGGTTAAAGAGCGGTGAGCAAGAGAGGACACCAAACACTTTCGTCCCCGGAGAGCTGCCTTTCCGCAATAGGTAAGGTTGCCACAACTAGGGACAGCTTTCCTACCCTGAGCTCTGCCCATGGGCCTTGGGATGCTCTGCGGGCGGGAATGCAGACTGGCGCTCAGGCTTGTCGCGGACCTGAGCTCTTCTCAAACTTTCTGAGAAGGAGCTGACTCCGGACAGGGGATGGCAGGCTCCAACGCTCCAGACGGCAGGTGGTTTTGCGATTCTGGGGATCACTGCCCTCGGGGGAAGGGGTGGTCCCGTAGTCTGCAAGGAGGAATGGAGTATCGGGATGCTTAGGATCCTTTTAGACTGCGACCGGTCCCTAAGGAGATCTTGGGAGAATTCCCCCGTAGGTTTCTCTTCCTGATTGTTCGGACTTGCTTATATAAATACTGAGTATAAATACATGTTGAAAAGACAGTGGGAGAGAAGGCCGAGTCACAATAAGCTTCTAATAGTGGAGTTCTTTTGTTGCTGCTGCTGCAGACCCCAAATCCTCAATTCCCCGAGTATCCTAGCGGATCCGAGGTGGCTACAGGATCGCAGTCATTCCCTTCGCGATCCAGCCTCGGTTGAAAAGAGAGACTGGGAAGGGAACTGTCCAAGGTTCTGAACCACCCTGACCCGTTTCGGAAGACCTCAAAAGGAATACAGGGCGGCGCAGGGAGGAACAGGTCCCCCAAATTCTCCATGTATAAATAAAGCAGGGGAGGTTTTCGCAGAATGACTGGGAAGAATCAAGTAAAATGAAAATACGAAGTATACGTCTGTGTTTCTCAGTTTGTGAAACATGTGCAGATTATGGCTTGTTTCCTTTGGGTAGTATACAAGTTGGGCATATGCAGTGTGGATGGATGAAAACCGCATCTACAAGCCCCTCAGCTTTCCGGAGGGTTATGTCGGTGTCATCCGGAGAGAAGTAAAATAAGGCTCTCCTGAGTTCAGAGAGCTTTCCTGGGATCCGAATAAATGTGGTTCTGTCAAAATGACTAAATTGCGACTTTCTATCTTCCAGGGATTTTAATGACTGGAATCCTACACTCTCCTACTTATGAGGAGCACAACATTTGACATTTTCCTCACTACTTTTAGTTTCTAAAAAAATGATATAAATAAGACATTTGCTTCTCTGTGAGAAAAGGGGGAAATACAAATAAGAAAATCATAGCAAGTTGCTTTCAGAAGCCATCTAACTGGGAGCTTCCTGGGGGGAGGATGAGGATTTCCTAGCAGGTGGGCTAGGAGAAGAGGGTAGGCTTTTGAAGGCCTGAAATTTCAACTGTGATTCTTTCAAAGGTAAACCTCATTCCACAGTCATCCGGCTTTGAGGACAACTGAAATTTAGTTGAGAGGACTATCAGTCTTGTTTGATCTTATTTTTATTTACTAACAAGTTTTCATGCTATTTACCATTTTTTTTCTGGGGGAATTCAGCATTTTGGGGTAACTGGCTGTCTAAGTCTGAGCACCAGGAAGGCTAACAAGGTTGCTTCTGGACAGAGGTGTGGCCCACACAGCTCAATGGTGGCCAGCGCCCACTAATGGTGGTTTTGAAAAAAAAAAAAAACAACAAAACACTCAAAGCTTGCAGGACAGTCAGTCCTTGAAAATGGCTCAGGGGTGGAGCAGAGGCGATGAAGGGATTCTAGAAGGGAGACTTTCACTTCCAAATCCTCCATCTCAAAAAAGAAAGGCTCGGCCCATGTCTCTCCAAATGAGATTTTCTGCCACATTTATTTTAAAATGCAAAGGTTCATTAGGAGCGACAGATATTTTATTTACATATTTTTTAATTAAAAAAAACAGTATGTGGTGTGTAGCTTTAGAAGACAGGATAGTTTAAGAGAGCTGGGATCTACTTTACAAAGAAATCTTTTCAGCCTGGGCAGTGGAGGCACACTATTTTACTTCAGCACCCGGGAAGACCAGTCTAGTCTACCGAGCACATTCTAGGACAGCTGAGGCTGCACAGAGAAACTCTGTCTTAAAAAAACAAAAATAAGCAACAACAAAAAACCTCTTTGAAGTTAGCAGGCCTCGGGAAATGGCAATCACCAGGTGATCTGCGGATGGGACACGAGACTGATTGCTCAAGACCTTGGCTAAACAGCCCGGTTTTATTTGCCTGTAGTCAAGCCTAACATTCATGGGAAACCATCAGATTTTAGGGAACAGGATCCAGACCAGGAATGTCCTAATAATCCTTTATCTTTTTCTTAGTTACTCCTACCCATTGGATACGAAGTGTCGAACTGTAGCTTCAGGCAGGCTGTAAACGTAGAAGGTGCCCTGGGAACGCAGGAGAACTCACCTTGACTTCATCATGAACACAAATGATTTTCCTTGGGCTTCAGCGTTCCCATCTTTCCGATGAAGGATTGGACCACGTGATCTCCCAAATAGCCTCATCTTTAATGTTTAGTTTCTTTAAAGGGTTTCAACAGGAAGTTGGGGAGCTGCCCATCACTGTGTCGAGCTCTTCTCTTTTCCCTCCCACAATAGCACATCATTCAGCTTCTGAGATTGCTCCTGTCCTCAGAAAGCCTTGGACTGAGCAAGTGAGAGCTGTTAGTGTTGGCCTGAAGTTCTTCCTGGTGACCAGCCAGCATTGTTCTGCTCCTCACAGGGGTCCCACCGATCTTGTTTGCCTCTACAGAACTTCAGCCTGTCACCTGGAAGATGCCGAGATCCTGCCACAGTCGCTCAGGGGCCCTGCTTCTGGCCTTGCTGCTTCAGACCTCCATGGAAGTGTGGGGCTGGTGCCTGGAGAGCAGCCAGTGCCAGGACCTCACCACGGAAAGCAACCTGCTGGTATGTGGACCTCGGGTACCACTTCGGTTTGGGTAGAAGATGGCTTTGGGCTTAGGACAGCTCAAAAGGAAGAGCAGTTGGGAGGCAGGGGTGGAGACAGGGAAGTTCATCTCCATTGATTGGAGTGACCCAGAGCAGCAACAGAACTTTTCCCATAAGGTTGGAATTACACAAAGGAGAGGGAGGAGGTAGCTTAAGAGAAAAAGGGGTCTGGCCCATGATCTCTGCCCTATCATCCTCACTCCCCACTATGTTTTCTGTGAAAAACCCCTTGTCATATTTTAGTTTAGACAGAGCCATATTAACCATGATTGTTCCCTTAATTGATCCTATATCTTTACCTTTTAGCTCCCAAATTAACTCCTCCTTTACATATAAGTGAAAACTTACAATTTTACTTCATATTTCTTTATTTTCTTCCAGTCACAAAGCCATTGCCACTTAGGTATTTCCAAATACAGCATCTCCAGAGGGAGAATGTGTGTGTGTGTGTGTGTAACGGTGCCAAATATCTCATGCTGTGTCTAGAAGGCAGGCTTCCTGCCAATTCCTTTCCAGTCTTTCTAAAAAGAAAGTCCAAAGCCCTCTGGGACAGGTTGGAGCTCCTTCCAGGTCACCACAGGGTGTGCACACAAATGCCGGGTGCCTGTTACTGCTACCAATAGACAGCTGAGGCTGGGTGGTGGGAGCGACCTCCTCAAGACATAAAGGCAGTGTGTTTTTAGACTCAGAGGCCTCAGGAACACTTGGGAGAATCCAGTTCAGAAAAACCTAAGACTTGATTTTGAGACACACATTGCATCACCTCTTCTGAGATCTCACCAGAAAGAGGGGAGGGTGTGCTAAACAGGATCAGAGTCATAGGTTCTATCCCCTACCTCTGACACCTTGACCAGATTTTTTTCTCTTTCTGATAGCCCCACCATCACCACTTCATTATCTGTCCTGGGGGAAAGGTACTTAAATCACATTGCTTTTATCATCCATTGTTAATATTCTGCGGTATTATAATTCTGAATCCCTGGTGTAGAAAACCCTCAACTGGAAAGAGTGAAGAGTGGGTAGGATCCTTCTGTTTTCTCCTCGGCAACTTCCAAGGATCTAAAAATCTTAAGGATGCAGCCTGTGGGTAAATAAAGCCCCCCTGGTCGAATCCTCTAGGGCCAGAGTGCAGAGCCACAAACATTGCATTCACGGCAGTAGAAAATACCCGACCTTCCAACCTTCCTCCCAGTCAGAATGAGGTGACAGGAAAACGAACTAATTTGTCTCAATTCTGATTGAGAGGATGCATGATTAACTCACAGAGTAAAGGGCCTAGTGGATGCAGGGCCGGAGTAAACAGGAAACTCTAGATTACTGGGGTTAAGATTGAGGCATTGTTGAAAATTCTGGCCCCAGAAGCCAGACATCTATAACCAGGAAAGATTCTCTCCCAAATTCCAGTCCCATGCCCCTCCTGTACTGAAACGGAGCCACACTTTGCAGACAACACCCCCTTTTGGTGCACATGGTAGCAAGGCCCTCATAGTAAAAGCCAAGGAAGATAAGCAAGGAATCGGTAGGGGTGCTTGCTGCCAGCTAGGCAGAATCATGCAAGAGCAAGAACAACTTTGTGCAGGATGTCGGTGGGACCTGGGGGACCCGCCGACGTGCAGGTGTCCATGTGCTGGGCGCGATGGCCTCGAGGCCGGAAGTAATTCCAGGACCAGGGAGGGGGACGGTGCCCACAGGGCCTGCCTGGTCTGGCTCACACCTCGGGCTCTCCCACAGGCTTGCATCCGGGTCTGCAAACTCGACCTCTCAGCGGAGACACCCGTGTTCCCAGGCAACGGGGACGAGCAGCCGCTGACCGAGAACCCCCGGAAGTACGTCATGGGTCACTTCCGCTGGGACCGCTTCGGCCCGAGGAACAGCAGCGGCACGGTGCAGAGGCGCGCGGAGGAGGAGGAGGATGACGCGGCGGTGGACGATGGTCGCGCTGAGCCCGGCCTGCGCGAGGGCAAGCGCTCCTACTCCATGGAGCACTTCCGCTGGGGCAAGCCGGTGGGCAAGAAGCGGCGCCCAGTGAAGGTGTACCCCAACGTCGCCGAGAACGAGTCCGCAGAGGCCTTTCCCCTGGAGTTCAGGAGGGAGCTGGCGGGCGAGCGCCCCGACGGCTTGGAGCACATCCTGGAGCCCGACGCCGCCGAGAAGGAAGATGGGCCCTACCGGATGGAACGCTTCCGCTGGGGCAGCACGCCCAAGGACAAGCGCTACGGCGGCTTCATGACCTCCGAGAAGAGCCAGACGCCCCTAGTGACACTCTTTAAGAACGCCATCGTCAAGAATGCTCACAAGAAGGGCCAGTGAGGGTGCAGGGGTCTTCTCACCCCGGGCCCCCTCCCTGCATGGGCGAGCTACTCGCCGCCGACCTCAAGCCTCCATAGTTAGTCTGTAGTTAGGAAATAAAACCTTTCAGATTTCACAGACGTCTCTGACCTTCAATATAGCGCGCGTGAATAAAGTCAAAACACACAGCCGTCCAATGACACGACTATGTGACCTAAAGAAAACATACCTCTACCCACTTGCCCCAGCAAATGACTCGGGGGTGGGGGGGGGACAGATAGTTTGGGTGGCTCAGGGTGGATTCTCTGTCCAACGTTCCTGCGGCACCAAGGCCCACTCCCCATTGGGAAGGGCTTCTGTGTGTGACCTGAGGCAGGTCCCCGAAACCTCCCAGGGTTTAGTTCTCACCTGCCCCTTCCTTCTTGGCATAAGGGCTCTGGCAAGAATAAAAGAGATGACATTATTTTGTCAGGAAAATGTGAAAGTTGAGAGTTGACAGTAGTTTCAGTTTGGTTGTTCACATACACTCAAGGCACATGACCGTGCCTCCTGTACACACCGTGGAGAGAGATGCTCAAGTGTTGAGGTGGTTTCCTATCTTGCTGTGTCTCCCCAGCTCCCCCATTGTCTAACTTCAGTCCTTCATTCCCAAGTTCTCCCTGAAGACCTCCACTACTCTAGTGCATTAACTCACTGGCCTCCAGCGGCTCTCTTGCCTATGCAAATTATGTTAACAAATATTTAAAAAGCTTGCTGGTCTCATAGTCCCTGGCTTACCAACCAAAACAGTATCCCTCCCTCCCAATTTCCTAACAGTTGCAAACTTTTGGGGCAAAGTATGTAGAGCTCATGTCAACCATGCCCACTCTCCCACCAAGCCTTCTAGCTCACACTTCCTGGGATGAAGGTCCCATTTCGTGTGTCTGTTGGTCTCATTGTTACCCTTCAGTTCCTCACTGCCCGGACCCCATCTCCAGCGCCACCTTTGCCCACCTTTGCGAATCTTGCCTCTTCCAAAGCAAGCCTAAGCTCAAGACCACCTCTACTAGGCCAGTTCTGCTCTTATCCAGTGGCCCTGTTCATTTTGGGGGCTCCTCTGTGCTGGAGGGCATGCTGTTTAGCCGGGAAGGCAAATTACCTGGTGTGTGTCTCTGCTGTCCGCTTCTCTGCAGGCATATTGCTTCTGTGTCCTGTGTCGTCACAATGCAGGGGCCAGAGTTTTGCAGTTCATTACCATTACAGGGAATGAACGTGTACCTATCGCTAGGTTAGACATCCATGGACCACACACATCAAAGCCTGGTGTATTTGTTCATGACCCCTTATATTTGCTAGGCGTTCACAAAAACACCATGAGCCCTGGAAGTCCTGGTGTGTGGGGAGACAGATATCTTGATTAAGCTCTCCCTAAGGTGGGTCGTGGGAAATGAGCTAGAATGAAGAATGGCCAGGGCCTTCCTGAGGATGCTCCCTTGCTGGGAATCCTCACTTCAGGTTTCCATCTCTGTAACATCCTCGCCTCCCCCACCGTTCATTAGAGTCAGGTAAAGCCAGGGTCAGTGGGGGCGGTTAAATGCCAATGGCACACTGCTGATTTTTTTCAGATTCTAATTTTACCTAAAACAAAACAAAAAACCCCAGCCATTCCCTTTTAAGAATTTCAACAGACAGCCATATGGTGACAACATTAACATTTATTTGAAAAGGGCATTGTGCAGGCCCACTGGGAAACCACGGCTAATGTCTTAAAGAATGACTTTGGAATAGTTCTTCCAACACCAGTTCTCCCCTGGCCCCCGCCTCCCTGGAAGGAAAACTAATTGGATTCAACAAGTTTAAAATACAGGAAGCTGCCACAGGTGCCAATTCTGTACTCACATATAAATAAGTCGGCTATAATATATACAACGTTGGCAACTACAAACTACATTAAATACATGCATTGACATAGGCACATATACACTCAGCCAGGTCATGAAGGACTAAAAGAACTCAGACACATTGAGATGGATGGGCTGGAGCATCTATGGGTGTTCAATTTTATATTCCATATACCAGAATCCACAGCCATGAAGTGTTCAGAGGACAAGTAAACCAGGTAGTGGCAGCCTACACCTTCAATCCTAGTACTCCGGAAGGCAGGGGTAGGCAGATCTCAGAGTTCTCAGGACAGCCTGGTCTACAGAGTGAGTTCCAGGACAGCCAGGGCTGTCACACAGAGAAACCCTGTCTTGAGCACCACCCCACCCCAAAAAAGAAGGCAAGGGCTGGGCTCAGGAGAAACTATGCTCCCTGAAGGAGCCAGGCTGGTGCCAGAGGGCAGCCAACATAACCATGAAGTTTTCTCCTTTACCGCACGGTTTCTCCTCATCACTCCCCCAGGTAGCCAGGATCAAGAATAAGACCTCCCATGATTCCTCTTCTGCAGTGGCTAGATCTAGACTAGCTTGGGTTACAGAGCCATAGAAAGCAGACTTTTACACTAGAGAGATAGAGGCAACAGCTTTCCTTGAACCTTACCCGCAGATTCCAGAGGACAAGACCCGTTTCTGTGCAATCTACTTGCCAGAGGTCAAGGAGAGCAGACACCCCCTGATACAACCCTCCCCCACCTGCAAGTCTGCTTTTAAACACAACCTTCAGACTCACAGCTAGGGTGTTCCTTCCCCCAGACTCCCAAACAGAGCCAGGCACCCCTTCTTAGCAGCATCCCACGAAGCAGGCTGGCAGCCCAGGACAACAGAAGAGCAGCTGGAGGACACTGGGCCCCCTGCCCCAAGAGTCCAGAGGAACCTTAGGGCTTTTCCAGAATCTACTCCCGCAGTATACAGGATGTGGCTGCTCAGACCACGGTCCTTGGTCCCAGGCCCATGACACCCCCCCCCCCCGCTTTGTGTACTAATTCAGGGCCCGAACACAGGACGTTTTTAGGTTTTCTTATGAGGTTACTGAGGAGTCATGAAACCATTTATTTCTAGTGATCGAAGAGGAAACAGGCTCAGCACGGGGAAATAGCAGCTGTTTCTGGAACGAAGGCATTTTCTATTGATCAGCTTCTTACACTTGTTTATGATCTACCAAATTAACTTCTGACCCTCAAAACACACTCACGTCAGCAGGATGCCACCCTTCGGCCCTGGCCTATGAAGCCAGAGCCCTGGGTGCTCTGGTGGGGTGGGGACCAGTTGGCCTTAATGGCTTTGCTGGCTCCTTCTGCTCCTGGTTTACAACAGAGAAGGTGAACAGAACTGGGCATGGATAGTGCTATCAGACACCAGAGGCTGGAAAGGCACGAGTCACACTGTGTCCCTCCCCCAGCGCATGCCCACTCTGCTTTGCCTGGTGATGGAGTGACAGACTCTTGTAACCACCATCTAGACTTCCTGACTTGGCCAGGATCAGATTCCATTCCTTGTCAACGGGCAACCCAATACCCTACTGAATATAAACTTAAATCTAAGAAGAGGGCACAGATGTGGCCTGCTCTCTAGAAGCAGCTCGTCCCTGCTAAGCAGCCACGGTGTGGAGAAAAAGGAAGTTCAGGGGAGGACCTCGGAGCAGCTGGGTCTGCAGAATTGAAACTCTGTTCCCTTTTTTCCTGTTTCCGAGGCTGGGTTGACTGACAGAGTATTGAGTGGGGCCTGCGTAGGCCTCTGGTTCTGATGCCTGACTCTAGAGAGACTCCAAGAAAGAGGCCCTCACAATCCACAACAAGGGTCAAGCTACCTCAGGGGGGGACACTGATGTCACTTGGGAACAAGAAAGAAACTGATGTGCTCTTATCCAAGTCAAGGCTGGTATAAAAGATGTGGTGGAGCTGGGCGGTGGTGGCGCAGGCCTTTAATCCCAGCACTCGGGAGGCAGAGGCAGGTGGATCTCTGTGAGTTCCAGGTCAGCCTGGCCTACAAGAGCTAGTTCCAGGAGAGGCTCAAAAGCTACAGAGAAACTGTTATGAAAAACTAAAATAATACTAATACTATTAATAATAATAGTAACAATAATGTGGCGGGCAGGTGAAGAAAGACACATTTTTAGCTCAAGGCTTAGATTTTCTTAGTTTCTAAAGGGTTACTTGCCTTCGTGCTTTTTTTTTTAAAAAAAAAAAAAACTTGGCTTCTTAGTAAAGAGATATTAAGGAGAAACCTAAGTCCATGCTTATAAAGTTGGATTGAGCGACAACCACATTGCTCCAAAGTCAGGGACAGCCTCATCCTCAGGGACATGAGATCACGTAGCCCACACAAGAGCCATGAGTCCACAGCTCAGTGCAGAGACCATGGGAAAGAGTTACATTAGAAGTGAAGAATCTATGGGGACAGGGTGAGATAGGTCCCATTTGTGACATTTAACATATGTGCAATGGGGAAGCACATGAGTTCCAGTCTGTGAAATTGTCCCCACCTGCCCTAGTAGGTGAGCAGGCTTTCACCATGCAGGATCACATCCAGGGCTGTGGTCTGGAGTGTCCTGAGAAGCCCACACCCTCCTTAGCAGAAATGGCTACTTTATGGTCCTGGGTCACACTGCCTAAAATTATACCCTAGAAAGGATTCCTGTGAGTCAACAGATCAACTCCCTTTTCCTAAAAAGCAAAATCTCTAGAAGCAGCATTGGGCCTCAGAGGAAAACAGCTCAGAAAACTTACAGGAAGTTTGAAAGGGAAAAAAAGGACTGTCCTGGACCGTGGGGTATTACCAGTGGAAGAGGCCTGGGGTGCGGCCAGAAGCATCCTGGGAGGCATGAAGACACCCAGCGAGACGGGCATCAGGAAAGGGTCATCCACCCGGTCCTGGGTCAGTGCTCCCAGAACACATGAGCCACACAGACACATACATAGGGAAAATGGAAGCAAAGGGGTTTCTATCACCTCTCCCCAGGCCACAAACAAGGCCAATTATCCTCAAAGTCTCAGACTTGGCCCAGAGAGGGAAAACATCATTTCAATCCTAGCTGTTAAATCTCTTTCCTTGAATCCTAAAGTGCCACTTGTTCAATTAATCCCAACACACACACACACACACACACACACACACACACACACACACACATTCTTGCTGCAAGCATCTTCCATGGGAAGTGATGTGGACAGGTCTCAGGGCCCTCGGCATTTCCTCCCCACTTTCCAGTCATCTAGGACCAGCTAGCCTGCTCAGCTGTCTCTCAACCCGGAGGATGTGGAAACACAGTGGGATATTTGGAAGAAAGGTATCAGGGAACACACTTAACAACCTGGGAAAGAGCAGGAAGAAAGAACGGCAGATCTGTCACAGCTTCCTCCAGACAGAGGAGCTGAGAAGGTGCAGCTTGCCACGCTTGTGCTTTGCCGACGCAGCCACCCAGCCCGGGAAGAAGCTGTCCCTCTCTGTCCCAGCCTGTTGTTCTCCCGCCAGCCTCTCTACCCCAGCTTCTTCTGTAGGCGCTCAGCAACCATTAATAGCAGAAAAAGAAACAGACAACTGGACGTAAAGAAGAGGCTCAGCCAGACACCCAAGACTAAGAGGTGGGGGTGCACATCACGTCCAGATCTCACACCGTCACTTCCTGATGAGGAGGATTTCCTCAGTTTCCCCCAGCACCATCTCTGGCTTTCTTAGACCATCCATGTCTTCATCAGGCTCCTTCCCCTGGGGGTGTCTGACACTCCCTCATGGACACATTTCCAATGGAAGCTTCCCAGGCCCCTCTTGCTTCTCAAGGGAGACACCCTCATGATTCTCTGTCCCTGGCTGATATGAAAGGGAAGACAGATGAGATGCTTAGCCCCAGAGGGCAGGAAACTGGATCTTCCTCACAGAAGACCAGAAGGGAGCAGGAGGGCCATGGAGGACCAGAGGCTCCATCTTTGCTCAACTCGGGAAGAGCCACTGTCCAAGGTGACTTTCTCAGCTCTCCAGGTTAGGTTTCCACACGGTGAGAGTGGGCAGGAGGGCGGTCCTCCCGGTGTCCTCTGAGGAGTTCCGTCTCTTGGAATTCAGTACACGCACAGGTCGGGAAACTTCATCTCATAGACAGGGATGGAATGGTTCTGTGGCTGGCCATATGCTGCAGTGATGGTCCCTGAAGGGCTTGGAGGAGGCCTGGGGACACATGGAAGAAAAAGGTATGAAGCAGGGGCTGGGTCCCACCCTTGTGCCACTGAATCCGGCAGTCGCTTTCCGAGCCTCTCTAAAACTCAGGCCGTTCCCTGAGTCCAAGCTTCCTGTAGGCTTCAGTGGCTCTCAACCTTAATGCTGTGACCCTTTAACACAGCTCCTCATGCTGTGGTGACCCCCAAATATAAAATTACTTTGTTGCTACTTCAGACTGTAATTTTGCTACTGTTATGAATCATAAATACCTGATAGTCAGGATATCTGATATGTGACTCCCAAATGGGGTCATGACCCACAGGTTGGGAACAGCTGCTTTTTGGTGACACAGGTGCTTGCCTGGGACACCATGACTCCTGGCCTTTTCTAGACCTTACTAAGTCAGTTTCTTGCCCATGTTGTGGTGGCTGGGAATAGAGGTTGAGGGTGGAGAGAGGGCTGCAGGCAGATGTGAGAAGAGGATTTAGGATAATGGCCCTGACCTGTGATGCTGGACACAGAGGTAGGGTCCCCTGTCTGTGCTGCCACTTACCGGATGGTGATTTCAAAGATCTGGTTGAGTTTGCTCTGCAGCAGAGATGCCTAAACACAGATAGAAGGAAAGTGAACGTTGGGCTCCAAGAAAGCTGCCACCTCACTGGCCACCTGCGCAAAGGACACTACTGCCCCAAGTTTCTGGCAGTAGCAACCATGGGAGGGTAGCCAGGTAGATGCTCTGAGCCCTGGCACCCGTCTATTGAACTTATACATCCAGATCAGGGACCACCACCCATCGCAGACTGGCTGGGGACCTGACAGAGGGCTAGGAAGACCAGAGGGTTTGGGTGGGCTTCTGCTCCTTAATATGGGGTAACAGGATCTGTTGGGCTTGGGGTCAGGAGACTTGGGCATGGGGTCAGGAGACTGGGGCTGATGTTGCTCTTTCTTGACATGAGTCCAGCACTTGGGCTTCCTCCTAGATCACAGAATGGGCAGTCAAACTCTCAAAGTGGGGTGGGAATGACTTAACAATAGGGAGCACAGGCTTGGGAGATACGTGTTTTTACACAGCTGCAAAATAATGTAGATCTTATATCGATAAATTTAATATATAAGCCATACGCCTGTGACCTTGGCACTCAGGAGGCTGAGGCAGGATGGTTGAATGCTGTGGTATGAGCCTGGGCTATATAGTGAGTTCGAGGCCAGCCCAGGATGCTACAGCAAGACCCTCATTTAAAAGAACCTGCTGGCTGGTGAGAGGGTTCAGTGGGCAAAGTGCACACTGCAAAAGCCTGGTAGCCTGAGTTCAAACCCTAGAACCCACATAAAGGTGGAAGGAGAGAGCAAAAGCCCTTTTTTATATACCTCCATATACATACACACATATACAAGGATAATAATGTTAATTTTTTTTGTTTTGTTGATAGGGTATCTACCCTGGCTAGCCTGGATTATCTATGACAACCAGTCTGGCTTTGAACTCAGGGATCTACTGCCTCTACTTTCTGAGTGATAGATAAAGTATGAGCCACTACAACCAGCTGGCCCCCCCTTACTCCCCACTCCCTGCCCTGACTACTACTACTACTACTTCTTCTTCTTCTTCTTCTTCTTCTTCTTCTTCTTCTTCTTCTTCTTCTTCTTCTTCTTCTTCCTCGTCTCTCCTCCTCCTCCCCCCCTCCACCTTTTTTGAGGTCTTACCATGTAGCTCTTGCTGGCCTGAGATTATCTATGTAGACCAGGCTGGTCTCAGATTTACAAAGATCTGCCTGCCTCTGCCTCCCAAGTGCTAGGATTAAAGGTCCAAGACTGTGCATGATAAATACAAAGCCCAGTCCCTGGGCTCAGGGGGAGCAATGTAGTGGAAGGCACTGGGGGAAACAGCAGTGCACTATATACTGGAACCAAAACCCTAATTTCTGCAGGACAAAGAGCTCACATCTGAACTCGGTCCTACCCTGGGTCCAAGTCTGCTTTCTGATTGGTCAGAAGGCACCCTCTGGTATGTTACTCACCCGGGCCCCACAGTGAGCTGCAATCTCCTCGAAGGGCGCCTTCTGGAATTTCTCTACCACCTGTCGTCGCCGCTCACGCTCCTGTTCCTCAACTGCCACGCTGTCCACTGTGACACAGACAACTGGGTTAGAGCTTGGGGATGAGTTAGGGGAAGGAGCTCGAGGGAGACGGATGGGGTGGGCTCTTGGGATGAAAAGGGGGCAGAGTCACGGAAGGTGTAGCGCCCCGTGTGTCCTCACAGACTGACTCTTCCTGCTTCTCCCTGAGGCCCCACCCTCTGAGAATCAGCTAAAAGAGCCCACATCCAGCCTTTAAAGACCCACGTGGCTACACTCCTGCTGGGTCCCTCTTAGTACTGCCAGGGTAGTTTGAAAAAGCACCTGAGGCTCAGCGGTGGTGGTGACGCCTTTAATTCCAGTACTTGGGAGGCAGAGTCAGGAGGATCTCTGTGAGTTTGAGGCCAGCCTGGTCTACAGAGTGACAGGACAGTCAGGGCTACACTGAGAAACTCTTGTCTTGGGAAAAAATAAATAAAAAAAGAAAGAAAGAAAAAGGACCTAACAATGGAAAAGGCAGCTAGACGGTAAGAGTCAGCACAGCCCCTCAGCTGAGCAGTCTGAGGAAATTTCACTTAAGGCTTTACACAGACCGCTTGCTACCCCAAGAGTTAGCACCAAACAAAGAAAAATAGGGACTGAGTTTGGAGGTTAAATAAGGATCACTGTTAGAGGGTTAAGGAGGAAGGCGGCACACTCTGTCTGTCTGTCTGTCTATCTATCTATTCATTCATTTATCCTAGCTGTTCTAAAGCTTACTACATAGTCAGGCTGGTCTCGAACTCACAGAGGACTCATCGTTGGCTATCTCTGCCTCCAAGGGCTGGGATTAAAGGCGTGCACCACCACACCTGGCTGAATGCATTTATAATAACAAAATACTGAAGAGGCTTCACACAAAGTCCATTTAGTGGCTTCATTTGTCATCAGTTAGAAACAACTTCTTAATAACACTTCATGAGCCAGTCCTACAAAGAGGTGACTCGGGGTTAAAAGTCTATGGCCCTGGGGCTGGAGAGATGGCTCAGTGGTTAAGAGCATTGCCTGCTCTTCCAAAGGTCCTGAATTCAATTCTCAGCAACCACATGGTGGCTCACAACCATCTGTAATGAGGTCTGGTGCCCTCTTCTGGCCTGCAGGCATACACACAAACTGAATATTGTATACATAATAAGTAAATAAATAAATATTAAAAAAAAGTCTATGGCCCTTATTGAACGAACGTTAACACAATTTCTTCTCCTGCCTCTCACTGGGCATCTTGCCCCTTGTGTCATCTTTCACACAGAATAAGTTTTATTTGCAAAAACCAGCCACCTGGCTCTAGCCCTAGAGTGGAAACTTTCAGAGATAGTTGTCATTAAAGGCGGAAAGGGGGTGCGTGACACACAGTGATGACACGCAGTGATAGGCAGTCCCACCTCCCCCCCTTCAGGGAGTGGGGACTTCCAGCTGCAGCTTGGGGGCCGCTGAGTTTCAAGAAGCCATCAGCCTCTGCCACCAGGTCCATGTCAGCCCCAATCTCCCCGCTCCTCAGAGTTTCCTGGGCTGCTGTCTTACCAATGGCCTTCTTCAGTGTCTCATAGGTGATCTCCTCTGCAGGCACTCTCTGAAGGAGAAGGGACAGACATGTTCAGAAAGGTGAGGGAGAAAAGGCAGCCCCTTTGCTTCTTAGGGCAATGTCTCCAGGACACCCCCATTCCCAGAGCATGTATGGAGAAAAAGCAAATGAGGCCAATTCCTCACCAGATTCCCTCAGAATAGAATTCTCTTCTCTTTTCCCTACTATCCTGTCAAGCTCCATGGGAGGAAACCATCTCATGATTTAAAAAAAAAAAAAAATCCTTAGAGAAACAATTGTATGTAGGAGGCAATTGAGAAATACAATCTCCAAAATAAACTCCAAGAACTTCATAACATTTTGAAGGCTCATGATATTAAATTATACCCTGAAGTAATGAATCTTAATACAGTAAGTCATGGGAGTTAGCAGTAATGGGGCCTCTATTGATGACATTGGTCCCAAGACTGGAGGCAAAGGATCTCAACTTCTGCAGAGTCTATGAAAGAGGGAGAAAAAAAAAATAAAACTCAAAGAAGGGAATTCCATGTATGCATGGCCTCAGGGAAGATGCCGAAGATAATGAAGTTTGGACCAGAGTCCATGAACTTCGAACCAGACTATGAGCTTCTTGGTGTAACACCCATGATGAATCACATGCCATCACAAAAAAATAAGGGGGAAATGTTGACAGAAGAGAGTTATTTAACAGGACAAGGTCTCACAAGGGGACACAACTGTGCTAAATGGTTCCTTCAAGGGAGAGGGGCCCAGACAAGTTCCCGGGTGATGATTGTGTTTGATCGCCCGATCTGAGTGTGATGGGGTGGGCACACTCAGCTTGTGAAAATTCGGACAGTACAGTTCTTGATTAGTTTGCTATTTAGTAAGTATCTGACTAGAAAGGACAGACACGGGATAAAGACATTGAGCAAATATTGTATGGACACCAATAGCATGCAGAACTCTCAGTAGGGCAACAGAAGCTGCCAAATTTGTTAACAAAAGAATTACATGCTAATAGATGAATAGAGGATTCATCTTGTACACACACGTGCGTGCACACATACACACGCACGCGCACACACACACCATCTATCCATCCATTCACCCATTTCTCCATCCATGGTCAGTGAAGACCAATGCAGATAAACTCCTGGCATTAAGGAACGATATGGTAAAGGAAAAGGAAAAGCAAGTTCTCCAAACGAGAGCAGGCAGAGAGCTGTGTGTGGAAGAAATGGAACCTAGCTGGGCTTCAAGGAAGAAGACTCCATAGGTCCAAAGGTCCAAGCACCCACAGTGGAGAAGAGGGCAGACTCTGGGAGGTTTTTGGCGCCAGTGTACTTGTGCAAACAGATGAGTGAGTGTGGCGTGGAGGATACTGGCAGCAGTGCCACCAGCAGAAACGTATAGGGTGGCATGGAGGAGAAAATGAACACAGCAGGGCCAGCCCTGGGCACTAGGATTAAGGTTTGACCACATCAGCATTGATTCATCACTCACAGGGATGGCAGTCAGCAGGCACAGGATCCTGAACCAGGGCACCATGGGCTGAGGCAGTGGAGCATAGGGAGGGCACAGCTCTGCATCAGTTACCAGCGTACCCCTGGGCTAAGCTGACCCAAGGAAAGAGCCAATACGACTGTCCAAGGAGGCCACCAGTAAGGAGGGTAAGCATTTCTCCTCCTTAGCTTCACTTAACTACTGAACTTGATGGGAAAGTCCCCTTTGCAGCATGGGGAAGCAGTCAACTAACTCTAAGGCTGTGATACACTAGAAGTTCTATACTGTGGGGCAATGGTCTTGTACCCTGTAAGGATTTGTCACTTGAACTCGTTTAATAAAATGCTCACTGGCCGGTAGCCAGGCAGGAAGTATAGGCCAGGCAACCAAAATAGGAGAATTCTAGGAAGAGGAAAGGCTCAGTCTGTAGTTGTCACCCAGACACAAAGGAAGCAAGATGAGAATACCTTGCTGATAAAAGGTACCAAGCCACGTGGCTAACACAGACAAGGATTATGGGTTAATGTAAGAGTTAATTAATAAGAAGCCTGAGCTAATAGGCCAACCAGTTTATAATTAATGTAGACCTCTGTGTGTTTCTTTGAGACTGAACAGCTGTGGGACTGGATGGGACCGAAACCTCTGTCAACAGTCCTGTCTTTCATGACTGGAAGGGTCTCTGAGGGCCCCCACTTCCAGTTCCTCACTTTGCTTGACTAATTAGCCAGGGTCAGAGCTTCCTGCCTTCCATGGGACTGTTCCAGAGCAGCTCTGAGTGTCCAGGTTTAGGGCTTGGCCCTAGAGGGATGCTTAAAACCTTTAAGGGCTTTTCTATACCTGGGGAGAGATCCAGCGTCCTCCACAGCTGCCCTCAGATTCCCCATGAGTCTTCCTGTCCCAGTCCCTCTCAGATGTGGGTCCTCCTTACTTTGTGCAACACTTGCCCAGGCCTGTCAATTCCCTAATTTGTATGATAGGGGATGAAGCAAGCCTTTCTAAAGTGATTTTTTTTTTTTTTTTAAATATTTATTTATTATGTATACAATATTCTGTCTGTGTGTGTGTGTGCCTACAGGCCAGAAGAGGGCACCAGACCTCTTTACAGATGGTTGTGAGCCACCATGTGGTTGCTGGGAACTGAACTCAGGACCTTTGGAAGAGCAGGCAATGCTCTTAACCTCTGAGCCATCTCTCCAGCCCCTCTAAAGTGATTTTTTAAATGATACTTTCATGGTAGAAGAACATTAATCTCTTAGCTGGAAATACCAATGGTGTACACATAATGAGAGTCAGTAAGAAAATGGATGTGCTCAAGAAACTCATTTCTGCAGATACTTTAATGCACTGTAAAGGGCTCTGGAGTACTTTAGCACCCTGTGTACTGACAAAACTCTCACCTCCTCTTTCTCTGGGCTGTTCCTCGATTCCACCTCTACCTGAAGGGAAATGGTCTCTCCAATGCTCTTCCTCTTGGATAAACGATCTTCATCTGGAAAAGAACAGCCCAGAAGCTGGGGTTTCCAGTCCTTGATAAACCACTGGTCCCACCCTTGATATAGTCCTCAATGGCTCGATACAAACTTAGGCTACACACGGAGCTTCCATAAGCTTCTATTTGCTGTGGGTCTTCTTTACCCATCTTAGGGTGGCCAGGTTGCTTCTTTGGGTTAAGATTTTTGCAACCATGTGTGAAAACAAAGGAGCTGCTAGGACAAGAAAGCATATCTCAACTAGCATAAGCTGGCTGCATCCACTAGAAGCGCCAGTAATGGCCACACATGTAGTGTTCCCTAAGCGCATCTGACTTCATTACCCTACACACCACACAACCCTCTAATGCAGGAATTCCGTAGTTCAGAGACTTGCCCAATATGTTTTTAGGGAAGCAAGTAGCACAGACAGAAGTCTTGAAATGGGTCCCTGGTTCTGTAACCCATGTGTGCTCTTTCCAGTATTACAGACCAACCCTTTGCAAGTCAGGTTATTCTCATGGCCCAGTTGCTTTCTGAGATCCCAGGCTGGGGAGGAGGAGCATCGGAATAGCGATCTCCCCGTAAATTCTGGTATGTCTCTCAGCTCTTATATAACATCTAAGACGCCACCACAAGAGATTCAGGTGTCTTCACCCCCTCACCCTAGGCCGCTTACGTGGCAGGAAAGGCAGAGGTAGGGTGGAAGCCTTGTCCGGAGTGCATACCTGTCAGCTGAGGGATGTAGGGCAGGCAGAGCCTGTCCGAATTGTAGCCGCTGCCCCCCAGGACTTCGCTGATTTTACTCTGGCGGAAGAGAAACTCTATCACCACGCCATCTAGATTCTGAGACAGCCTGAAGGACAAAGAGGCAAAGTAGAACTGTGGGCAGCTTGAACAATCCCTGGATGACTATCCCAATAGCAACATAGTCACTATGCAAAATGACAGAGAAACAGAAGAAAGTTCCCCTGGACCCTGTTCCTCCGTGGACACCTACTATCCTACATTTTATGCAGAAAACTTCAGTTGCAAACATTTGTGCCCACACATGAATGTTCCTTTCCCTAGCACACTTTTCTGTGGTTAATTTTGGGGATGTATATGTGTGTGCGCAGATGTGTGGAGGAGACCAGAGGTCAATGTTGGGTGTTGCTCCTTAGGCAACATCTACATTTGCTTTGAGACAGGGTCTCTCACTGGCCTCAATGGCCTTGAGTTCACCAAGTAAGCTAGGCTGGCCGACCAGTGAGCTCACAGACCGGCATGTCTCCACCCCAGCATATGCTACCACATCTGACTTTTTTTTTTTTTTTAACAACATTCCAGTTAGCGAATGAGAGGCCATGGTTTAGAAGGTTAAGTCCTGCTGCTGGGCACCTTGCTTCAGAATAGCTTCCCCCTGAGTTCATGCTGAAGCGACACTGGTCCATAGCACTGTCTGAAGGCAGGATCCTGTCAAGGGCGACTCCTCTAGGATGTACCCTCCCTGGGTTTGACCAAAGCTCCTGGAGTCTAGATCACCTATGCAGTACAGCACTCCCTGTCCACCACGGCCCGCCTGAGGCCTGATGGTAGGGCAGCTGTGAAATGGGTATGGTAACGCGCTGGGAGCCAAACTCTGCCCAGGGTCAAAGTCCCCTGATGTTTGTCCTTGCCTGGCCTCATACTGCCCACTCTCGCGTGTTTGACCGCATCCCGGTACTGTCCTTACCTGGGCCTTTCCACAAACACGTCTTCGGGAAGCATGTATGGTGCTTCTTTTTTCCTGGTCTCTATCACCTGGAGTTCAGAAGGAAACAAATGATGAGAGCTGGATCCAGCAGGGCCAGGCGGCTCAGAGCGGGAGCAAGGGAGCCTGGGTCCGGGAGGGGCAGGGCCGGGTGGCTTAGAGCAGGGTCGGGAGGCTCAGAGCGGGGAGAGAGGGAGAGCTGGATCCAGCAGGGCCGGGTGGCTCAGAGCAAGAGCTAGGGAAAGCTGCAGCCTCACGTCAGTACCCTCCCGCTCCCCCCACCCCCACCCGCAGCCGCCTTGGAGATGCAAACACAGAGCTTCTCCAGGGAGAATCCAGATCCCCAGTCGCGTCAGAGCTGCCCGGGGAGATGAGTCGCTGCTCAAGCTGTCGCCACTGATGACGCACATGTGTCAAGTGTCCTCCAGGTGCAGAGGACTTCATTCCCAAGAGGCTGGGCTTTCTTTCTTAGTCCGTGAGAGAAAGGGGGGTGCAGGTGGCACCACGTGCTGAGACTGGCTGAGGGAAAAGCGGCTGATAGACGGTGGCAGCTTGAGATCTCCTCAGTAGCCTTTGCAAGTGTTTCTGGAGGAGCTGTGAAAGTTACTGAAGTGGCAAGAAGCCAGAGATGGCTGGCGTGCCGGTGTGAGCGTGTGACTTGCCAACAGCCACTGTTTCCAGTGAAGAGGACTTCTCGACCGACGGCCCTTATCAGCCCCAAGCCTGTGAAAGTCCACCACGCTTGGGAAGTCTCTGGTACAATGGCACAGCGTCTACCCTTATGTCTCCAAGCCAGCTTAGGCCAGCAGAGACCTGGAATTTTACAGTTAATCCTACACATCATGAGTCCACCTAAAATACTTAAGATTTTAAGTCAGGAAGAAATTCTTATGTATGTGACTGTTTTGCCTGTATGCATGTATATGAAATATGTTCATGTCTGGTATCTGTGAAGGCCAGAAGAGGGTGTCAGATCCCCTGAAACTGGAGCTATAGACAGTTGTAAGCTACCACGTGAGTGCTGGGAATGGACCCCAGGTCCTCTGCAAGAGCAGTCAGTGTTCTTAATCGCTGAGCCATCTCTCCAGCCACTTTCAGAAGGTTTTTAAAAAAACCTTTATGCAACAACTGGAGTTGATTGATGAGATTGGCTACTAGAGAATGCCAAGGTAGAGAGAGATTCAAAATTGAATTAGCTAGTATGGTGGCACCGGAGGGAGATCCCACTGCTCATCGTCTTCCACTACTCATACTGATATATGGGTTACATTCATGCAGAGGGAGCTGGAGTTTGTTTTAAAATATTTCAGCAAAGGAAAAGGATACGATCTTGATAAGCAAGTGTGAGGAATTTTCACAAGTATTCAATTGGCATGGCTGGGGTTCACAGTCCTACGTTTGCTTTTGTGGTACTGAAGGGTTCATGACAAAAATCTTGTCTTTTTGTTTTGAGACAGAGTTCTTTTCTGTTTAAATTACTTGGTGTGTGTGTCCGTGTGTATGTCCATGTCCATGTCCGTGTCTGTGTCCGTGTGTGTCAGGGGCATGCGCACACCATAGTTATGTGTGGAGGTTTGGGGAGTTGGCTCCTGTCTGCCACCTTGTTGGTGCCGGGTCTCTCCTGCTTTTGCCACTGCAGCTGGACCACGAGCTTCTGTCTCATTTTTGTCTCTGACTCCCGTTTTGCCACAGGAGTGCTGGGATTTAGGTGTGTACTGCTGCATTTGGATTTCTCATGAGCTGCAGGATTGAACTCAGGTCCATGAGGCTTGCCCGGCAAGGGCTTTAACCTAAGAGTTTCGGTGTTGCCCAGACTGGCCTTACCATCAGCCTCCTAGATGGCTGGATTGCAGGTCTATATCACCTTGCTCAGATTCCTAAAACTTTTTGTTGGTGGGGAGGGGGGGGGGGCCCATGTGGCCCAGTCTGGCCTTAGACTTGCTATGCCAAGGTTTCCCTACCACTGAGACTTGAGTGCTGGGATTATAGGCTTATGCCACTATACCCAGATTTATGTGGTCTGGGAATTGAACCCAGGAATTTATGTTTGCTACGCAACCTCTTATTAAGTTGCTTCCGTTCACGTGGTTGGAGGAGTGTGTGTCATATGCTATCTTAGGACAGTGGGTAGGGAGCAGGTATAAGGGACCCCTTTACTCAGGAGGCTGAGGACAGAGGCGCTTTACTTCAATACTTCCTCCAAAGCCTAAGTCTAATGCGCCGGGGCTCACTGAGTTCTCAGGATCACGAGGACACCAACCTCGTGGATGTGCTGGCAGAAGGCAGGCACCGTTGTGAGCTGACTGATGAGGTTCAGGTAGGCTGCACCCAGAGCGTAGAGCGCACAGCGGTTATAGGCAGGCAGATTCTCTTCATTGACTTGGGCCACGTCCTGTGGTAACAGACAGGCTTTCGGAGTTTTTCCCTGACAAGTCATACTAAAATCTACGCCCTCCCACCTGCCCTCTCCCCAATTTTATTAGAGATGGCTCATCTTTCTAGACTAAATCTTTGTCCCATAGCCTTCTGGGAGGGAGAAGTCATCCCTAAAAAGCTCGAGAGAATGGCCCCTAGGATAATCCATGGACTGGAGACTCATCAATCCCTACTAGGCAGAAGCAAGAGCCTCATCTCGCCACTCTGTGGTTTCAGCTGTAGTGACTGCCACTGTCCAAACCTCCTCATTAGCATTAAGCCCACCATTCAGCCGCCATCTCCTTCAGCAAAGCTGAAACTTAGCCGATTGCATCGTCTCGTTGAACTGGGTCCATATGCTAAAAGCCATTGGAATCACTGGGAGGCTGGGGCTCAGAGATGTCCCAAATTGCACCCCTTAGGGTAAACAAAGAAAATTATAACATCTAGTTGGCCTGCAGGATCTAGCATGGTCACAAAGCTGACCTAAGACATCTGTCACTAAGTTCAAGAATGTGATGCCTGCTTGGCTTCAGGACCCGGAGACTGCAGCCTTTGAGGTCTGAAGGACCCACCTCGACTTCCATGGCAGTGCACTACTACCCAGGCAGACCTTCAGAGTCTCAGGTCCTACCTAGTACCACCCTGGCTGCCTGTGAACCACAACGGAAGCTTCTTAAAGAAACAGGTCCCGGGTTTGGGATACTGGCTTTCCAGTTTGGGTAATGAGCCTCTTTGAACAAGCATCAGAGACAATTCTGAACAAGTAAATCTGAGAGGAAGAGGATTTTTAGATGATCACATTTGCTACTGGATCACTTGGGGCTTTTGAACGCCCCCTTTGGGAATTTTTGGGGTAGCACTCAGACCCCATGAGAGACTTGAAATGCGAGGGGTTCAGGGGTCATTCTGGGTGACCTTGTATTCTCTTTATCTTAATGGTAAACAAGAGCCACAAATTAATTCATTTCTGGGGCTTCCCAGTCTAGACCATGGTTTGGGTTATTATGGAGGAGTGACCAACCAGAGTACAATGTCCCCAGACACCAAAACAACCACCACAACAGAGTTTCCCTATCTGTACCTGGCTAGACAGGCCCCTCCCCATGATCTTTATCTGGTCCTCCCCACATCTGGCCCTACCTGAACAGCCAGTACCAGTCGGATGAGGTCCACCATCACCTCCTCGTTGGCCAGCTCAATGCTGATGAGTGCCAGCAGGCCGTAGAGTGCCTCATAGTGCTTCTGGATGTTCGTCTCCTCCTTACAGCTTAGGTAGATGTGCCTGTATAGCTGCTGGGAGTGCTGGGGACAGGGGCAGGGGCAGAAGACAGCCGTGGTCAGTGGGGTGGATGGGGAGGAGATAGCTGTGTGCAGACCCCACCTCCATCCTCAACAACGGACAACTCTGGCCAACTGAAGAGGGAGGAGGCGGGCTCTGGGACCAGTGGTCACACAGTGGCTTAGACGCTGGAGGACTGGGACTAGTAATCCTGACCTCCATGGGCTCGCTGTGTCTTCTGGTCATACTCACCTTCTTCATGAAGACAGTGTCCTGCCGGGAGCACTTGTCCACTTTCAGCTTCAGGACCGAGATGTCACTGAGGGTGCTAAGAAGGGACAGAGGAGCCTGTTAGCCCTCCGAGACCAACCTGAGGCCACCTGATGTCACCAAGCTTTATTCCCTGGCTATTAACCCAGTCTCCATTTTCCCACATTCCTGTTTCTTTCTCTTGAACTTTATGCTGATGCACACTCTCTCCAGCCCCCAGCCCAGGCAGGACCACGCTCTGGCTCCCGCTGTCCTTGACTAAAGCCAGGGTTGGGCTCTAGTGGGTCTCACTGTCCCAAACTGCCCTCCCACCTGGGTGTGACGTTGCTGGCCAAGAAGACAGTCGCACTGGGGGGCTCCCCTATCACACATCTACTGGAGGAGGGATCTTGAGCTCACCTGATGGTAGAGAATTTGTGGCGGTTGCCATGGCGATCAATGAAACTGATGAGAATCTCCAGAACGAAGAGGCGGATTTCGGCATCCTCCATGAGGGCGGTGGAGAGCAGGCGGTCAAGGAAGTTGCTAGGCAGAGCTGACATCATGTTGCTGCACGGGAATCCTGTGGAGACCTGTGAGAAAGCCCGGGACAGCGGTGCTTAGCAACACCGTCACTCCCTGTGCAGACATGAGATGGAGAAACAGCCAGGATTTGGTGTCGTGTCTATCCTCTGTATAGAGCCCCCTGAATACCCACCTGGAAAATCTACTCCGTGCAGCTCAGCTGACATATAGGTGTATGAGAACAGTATGCAGGAGCAATAAGAGCTAAAAATGAGTAAGGATTAGCACCAGAGAAAGGCGAGAGTCATGGTATCTGCAAGTCCTAGCTGGCCAGGGAACACCTGGTGAACGCCCAGTTGTTCTGTTACAATGCTTTCTTAAGATCAGGAGTCACAAGAACTTAGAGGGCAGAGGAACTCACAGCTGGGTGGCAGGGTCCACTCACATACCCGACAGTCAGCACAGCACTGGGACAATGGGGCCTTCTGACTCAAATTGGTCAGCACAGGTAGCCACATCACACAGGATGCCAAATGCTCAGCAGCAGTAAAGGGCATTTTCTATTAAGTCCATATTGCAGAACGGTACCCCTGATGATTCGGAAGGTTTCCACAGAGCTGGCCCAGCCCAGAGTGTTAAATGTTCTCTGAAGGGGCACATTGAGTATTCCCCAGACTGTCACATAAGACACCGGGCACAAATTAACAAGGGCCAACTAGGCAAAACTGCAGAATTACAAAGACCAAGAGGAGAAAAGAAAACTAGATATGGGAAGAAGAAGAACAAAAGAACTTCGTGAGAGGACACTGTGTGGGGCCGGAGGTATACTCGGTGGAGGGGCAGTCCCCAGTACTAACAAAGCAAAGCGGCCAAACAAACATGTAAAAGGAAGAGGGTAGGATAAGAGGGAAGAGAAGCTTGCATTGAGTGAGGGGGTCTGGACAGACCCGTGTGTTGGGAACAGAGATTGGAGCCGGTTGGTACAATGAACAGTCTGGAGCAATGGCTCTTGACCTTCTTAATGCTGTGACCTTTTAATATAGTTCCTCATGCTGTGATGACCCCAACCACAAAATTATTTCATTGCTACTTCATAGCTGTGATTTTACTACTGTTATGAATCATAATGTAAATATCTGTGTTTTCCAATGGTCTTAGGCGACCTCCGTGAAAGGGTCCTTCAACTCCCAAAGGGGTCACAACTGACAGGTTGAGAATTGCTGGCCTAGAGACAGGAGGAACCCTGGGAACTTTGCCCTGAAGAGCCTGAAATTTAGATGTTCACATTAGAAATTGAGATCTCCTCTGAAATAAGGAGCAAAACTGGAAATGGTATTTCCAGAAAATTCTCCTGGTGTTTATGATGGCTGAAGGTGGACATAGAAACACTGAGGAGAATAACCTGGTTGTAAGATGTCCGAAGTTTAGGCTAGGGCAGGAAGCTTGTTGCAAAACCAAATTTCAGAGCTGGGAATGGCAGTGCACATATGCTTGTAATCCCAGCACTTAGTGGGTTGAGGCAGGAGGATCTTGAATATGAAGTCAGCATAGGCTATGTAAAGTCCAAGGCCAGCCAGGGCCACAGAGGAAGGCCCTAAATAGATCATACAAATACATATTTCTGTTCATATACATACATACACAAACATAGATTTTAGAATCTCACAGTGAGTGGCTGACTACTCACACTCCCTGGGGAACCTACATATTTTAACCAGTTGGTCATAGGAATGGTGTTTGTGAGTAACAGAACTTAGACTCCAGCAATGGAAGCTGAGGTGCAGAGACACACAGAAGACATAGGGGAAGGAGAAGGTGGTGGTGGGAAGGTGAGAGAGACGTCAATGGTGAAATGGGGGAGCCAGAGGGACAGGACCTAGGGAAGGGCACTGGGTGGTCAGAGGGGGAGGAATTACGTCAAGACCCACAAGGCTAGCTATAGCCACAGAGCTACCAGTAGCACTTAGAATCACCATTTAAAAAAAGCACTAAGCTGGGTGTGGTGGGGCACGCCCGTAATTCCAGCACTCGGGAGGCAGAGGCAGGACGAAAGCTGTGAGTTTGAGGCCAGCCTGGTCTACAGAGTGACAGCCAGGGCTAGACGGAGAAACCCCGTCTCAAACAACAACAACAACGACAACAAAGCATTACATTTCCACCCCGCTCTGAACAACTCAGTGGAGCTCAGGCTGGGTTTCATATCCTCCCTTATACCTTTAACAGCCGCGCATATCTGTGCAGTTTGTAACACACATTACTGCCCCGTCTTGGTTCCCTGTAGGGGGCGCTCACCTGAAGGAGAGACTTCAGCAGCATGATCTGGGTCAGCCGGTTTCTATTCTCCCTGTGGAGGAGAGACACGGGCACTCTCAGCAGGACGGCAATAGGGTGCTCCCTCGTCCCCACTTTCCTCATTAGTTCTCCCACGGATGAATTTTCTCACCAGGGGCTTATCTTGTTAGGTTACCCAGGAAGCCAGACTGGGGACACATGATTTCCCTAAAGTGAGGAGGGAACCTGAAAAATTGCCATGGGATCTATTACACCCCCCCCCCCCCCCACTGCTGAAGGGGTCTTTGAGTCAAGAGAAGATCCACAGAAGTAAGAGTGGATAACCAGGAACCAGAAAGAAGGGAGTGGACTAACCCTGTCCTTCCGGTCTCCACTGGGTGGTGCAGGGAGGGTATGGGGACTTTGCTCATGATGAAGAGGATCACCTCCGAGCGCTGATAGGTGGGCAGCGTGCTGGCAAATGATCCTGTTAGGACGAGAACAGAGATTTAGAGGTCCCCCAGGCTCAGCACGTATTAGTTGAGTGGGCAGAGAGTGAGGCTCACTGATGCCCAGGGGCAGTGCTCAGGCAGATGGAAGGGATTGTGGAGGATTCTGGAGGGCTCTTCTAGATGCAACTTGTTCTTCCCTTGTTACTGAGGTTGTGGCCACTGTCAGGGCTCCTTTACTGGGGGATAGGGCCTGGGGTGCAGGGCAGCCCTACGCTTTCATCGCTCGTTTCCCAACTCCCGGTACCAAAGAGTTCGTGGCCTAGGTACAGAGAGACCTCTGAGAGTGGAGTCCATGGGAATTAGAGTTTCATATTTCTCCACATCCGGGGTACAAATAGCCTCCACAGTTTTCTTCATTCCTTCTTTTCTTCCTTAATCTCCACCTCCCGTCCAGTGGCCCCACCGTGGGGAAACACTAGGCATGACTAATGAGGACCGGGACACAAGAATAGTCTTCCTTAGCAGGAAGGCCTGGCGGAGGGACCAGCCAGACACGTGTATCATAGGCTGCTGGGCTGCTGCCCCCCTTTCCCACGATGTTCCTAAATAACACGATAGCGCTAACTGATCATACAACAGATGCTAAAGTGGAAACCTGGTGCCCTGGCTCCTCCCCCTAGAACTCTTCCCTCTACAAACTTGGTCAGGGTACCTCCTCTCAGCATAGTCCTGTCCCAAAGGCCAATGTCCTAGGGCCCTGGCAACCTCTCCCCAGAGCCTCATTCGGCTCCCAGCCTCACCAGACCCCTCCCACCTTAGGTCCTTTCCCAGAGCCCCGCCCTTCTCCGAGCGTCACAGAGTCCGTCCCTCCCCCCAAAGTTCGGCCCCTTTCCAAGCCTCACCCACCATCTAAGCCTTGGTTCATAGGCACTTCTCCCTTAGCCCCGCCTCCAGATCTTTGCCCGTCCCACTTCTGAGCCCGCCCCCAAGCCTCAGTGGCCCCTCCCAGCCCACCCCAACCCTCCCCACCGATGGTCTTGATGACCGCCTCCTGAAACATGCGCTCCTCATGCTCCTTGATGATCTTGGTGCCCAGGCTGACAGCGCCGTCGTAGCTCCCGGTCAGCGCGTAGTCGATGCTGAGCCGCAGCTGCCGCAGCAGGGTGTTGAACATCTCCAGCACCGTGGGCCCTGGGCGCCAAGAGGGAGGGACCCGCAAGTCAGGACAGGCATCCCTCCTGCTCTCCCTTATACCTAAAGCCCACTCAGCCAGTCGGTCCGGCCCCTGCCCCTCTCTCCTGCCCCTCGCCGTTTGCTCTGGACCCCCTTACCGACAGAGCCGGTGGCGGCGATAACCGCAGCTTCCGATAGGACCTCCACGATGCCTGCCCGCACAGTCGCCGCGCTGCGGCTGTTGGCGTCTAGGTGGCTCAGGAGCTGCTGGATAACCAGGTGGGAGTGCTGCGGCTGTGGGGGAGGAAGACGTGATGGTCCCCCAAGCAACCACCCCAAAGGCCTGGCAGCCCTCTGCGGGGACCCTGAGGCGGAGGGTGAACCAAAATGTCATCCCACAGCCAGTGGACGCTGCAGGTGGCACCCAGACCGCTCACTCTTACAGCACTCCCCAACCCCCATCCCGGCCTACAAACGCGGAGCCAAATCCCAGGGAATCTGCGTTTGCACTTTTTTCCTGGTTCCTTTTACTTCAAAGGGGACCAGAAACCCATTTCAAAATATTGTCTTTCATTTCTCCCAGTCCCCAGGTCTTACTGGCAAGGACCATGAGAAGCCACATGGTTCAGCTCCGTGCTGCACAGTGTGGCTGGGGGCCCAGTGCCAATTCAAGATCTGTCTGATAGATAACACCGCTGCCTAGATGAGGGCGGGCCAGAAGGAAGGCAAGGCTGTAGAAGTCGGGAACGCTCAGAGAACCAGGGGGTGCAGGCTGCTTGTCTTTTTGCGAGATGTAATTTTTGTCTAGGAATTCGTTTCCATTGTATTTCATAAAAAAAATGTTTGGCTAGGACGTACTAAACATTAAACTGGCCTTCCTTCACAGTCAGGTGACACAGCAGCATCTGTGGCAGCTAGGGTTTTTTTTTGGGGGGGGGGGAGTCAGAGAACACGTGGCTTCCTACTTTGTGTACTGTCCCGCACCTGGGAGTGCCCCGGGGGAAGTGGGCAGCCGGTGTCTGGGGAGGGGAAGGGGTGCAAGCTGGAGCAGGGAAGCTTACCGCACCTGGATTGAGTACATGATGATTTTGAAGCAACGAGTGGCGAACACCTTGGGTTCCCAAAGAGAATGGTTATCCAGGTGGCTGCGAGGGAGAACACAAGGGGGGGGGGGGGGGTGACTGGGAAACTCAGAATGACCCAGGGAGTATTGCTGAGCTTGGAGGGCCAGGGGCACCTCCTGAGAGCCCCTTGCAGTTCTCAGTCAAGGAAGGGCTTACAGTATAGCTTGACACAAGGGATGGAGCTGGCCCTTTCGTTCAGTTTTGGGGACCCCTCTATTGCTCACCACAAACAGCAGGTGGCCACTGCATGGTAGCCTTGCTGTGTGATGCAGGGTCTGCTGACACCTCACCACAGCATGACAGCTCCTTTCCTCTCACAGGGGCAGCGGGGACCAGGGGCAGTTGGCAAGGAGATATGGGCAGGGGACCTGGAACAGTCAACTCACATAAGAACAGGCTTAATGGCGTTTTTGATGTTGCCGAAGGCTGCCCGGCCCAGCAGCTCCCGCAGGCACCTCTCAGCCAGCTCTGCTGGGTTCTCCTTTTCCTTCTCCGGTGCTTGGAGGGGCGAGGGAGACCGGCTGCGGAGACAGAGCCATGTGGATAGAAGATGGGGTGCAAAGTGGGGAGCCAGGACTGTATATACCTTTGGGTTTCTCTTCAGGACAAGCAGGAATTTGAGATAAGCTACACCAGGTCATAGTCATGGCTGTCAGCAATTAAACGGGGTAAGGAAGGTGGGAGTAGAACGTTGGGGGAGTCTATAGAGTTATTTTCATGGGACCACTTCAGAGGGGGCTGGATTCCCTCTGTTGGAGGCCTGCAGACCGCAAGGGTCAATATATACCTAAGGGTTGGTGGAGGGGAGATAAGAACCGAAGAGGAAAGTGGAGTAGACAGGCGAAAAGAAGGAAACAAATGGAAGCGAAGGGTGATTGGCTAGGGTGTGGCCTAATGACATGCAAATCAGAGTGTACCTTCTCAGAACAGAATTCCCCATCTAAAAGACCACAACCCCAGACTGGGGAGCTGTTACATCAGAAACAACCACCAGGGGGCACACTTTCCCCTGCTAGTTTAACATCCCAGACCCGAAAGGAGAGCTTTTTTTACTGAGCATCTGAGCACAAAGACAAGGTGGGGGGACAGTAGAGGGAACTTTCCTCTCCATCCCATTCTACAGGGGAAAGTAAGGGTCACTAGACGGAATGAGTCTGATGTTTGGGGGTTCTGAGATTAAATTCCAGTATCTGCAACTCTTAAGTGACCACGGCTGATCAAGCAGTCATGTTTTAAGGTTTGCAACAGCATCGGGAAGGGAGACAGTAAGGTCCCAGGGAAAGTCTTTAGCATTTGGAACCTTGAAAGGCATTTATGCCTCCTTAGCTTGCTGCTTCCGGAGGGGCACGAGGGTAATCTGTCCCTTGTCCTCTTGTGTCCTGACCAGCTTACACGCATACCCAGGCAGCATAGACCCATTGCTGCTCCTGCGTCCTTATTTGAGGACAGAAGGAGATCAGAGGCCGACAGAAGCCAGACCCAAATGCAAGGAGGAACCAGCCTTGTGCTCATTGCAGAACAAGTCACAAAGCCAAGATTCCTGCCCTCCTAGCTGGCTTCTACCTTCCAGCCCAAGCTAGCTCCAGGAGCCTGGGTGACGGTGGTGCTCAGAGTCGGGAACCCCAGCCCCACTCACCTCTCTGCCTCTTCTATGTGCTGCAGATTGAAGAGGAGCGATGGGACGATCTTGTCCATGTGCTGTGGGTCCCAGATGTTGGCCTGCAGCTCATCATTCACCGTCTTCCTCACGACCCCTTGCAGGCCTTTGATGCCCGACATTCGGATTCTGTAAGGAAAGAGATTGAGGCATCTCTGCATCCTGAGCATCTCCATGGCGGCCCCAAGAGGAGCACGGTTCAAGCTCTAGGGACCTAACTCCTCGGAAGGCTCCTCTATCTGCTCCTCTTCACGGGCATTTTGAAACACATTAATGAGCAACTTGACTCTTGTAGCTTAGAAGCCAGTGGGGAGAGGCAGACAGAGTCAGCAACATAAGAGAGGAATGATGAAACTTGTTAAAAGGGGGGTGAAAACCACGGGGGGGGGGGGGCAGAGCAGGATAAAGAAGGATTGGGGGGAATGTGGGGACACTCAGGCGGGCTTCACTGATGAGAGCAAAGTGAGCAAAGCCGTGGCAGAGGGGAAGCAGTGAGCTGAGATCCACGGAAGAAGGCTTCCATCACGGCACAGACCGTGCAGAAGTCCTGAGGCAAGAGTATCCTGCATGTCCTATACAGTGTGGCAGGAGAATGGGTCGGTGGGAGGACCCAGAAGGTGAAGTGAGGAAAAGCCAGCGTGAGGACTTGGGCTCTGTTGATGGATGTAGATGCTGCTAAGCAGGCTGTTCCTGCAAGTGCACACTTCTATCTGTGAGTGGAGAGGTTGTGTGTATGCACGCTTATGTGTTTTGCTCCTGGCCCTCAAGTTCAGCTCAGGAGACCTCCGTTATCTTATATTTTGCCCTATGTTCTGGCCCAAGATTTTTCCTCCAGAACCACCTGCCGGGAGCCGCCCCATTCTGATTAACACCCACCCATCCTGGACACAGCAGGCCAGAAGGGGAGTCAAGGAAGACAGACCAGTCAGCCAGTGCTGAAGCCCTTCAAGGCCCCTTGATGGTTCTGCTGGGAGCCCCGTAGGCCCGTCGCCTCCCTCTACTCACTTGGTCTTGATTTCCAAGTCGTCATGGCTTGAGTGGCACATTTCACTAAATCGGGACACAAAGAAATCATAGCTCCGATGATAAGATGGGGTGTCCTCTTCAATGTTGGCGAACTTCACAAACTGTCGGGGCAGAGGAAGAGAATTTGCATGAGGGCCAGTTGCTCCGCCCCTTGGGACATTCCCAAGCACCTATTATGGAAAAAGCCACAGACCCAGGCATCTGGGGACCAACTCCTGCCTGTAACAGCACACTTGGGAGACCTGAGTTCATAGGCGACTCAGCTTTCCTGTACACAAAAAGCTGGGAACTGTGGCCTTTTCTGTTGAGGGGGACAGAGGAGGAAGGAGAAAGCGAATGATGGCTCCCCCTGTACACGGCTGCACAAACCCCTGGGGGATGCATGCACAGGGCACAGCAAATTAGGCACCATGCGGAGACTGAAGGAGAGCTGGGTCAATGTATGGAGCACCTCCTTGGCTGAATTCTGAGACAGGAGAGCAAATCCGAGCATTGGACTTCAAAACTGGAATCACATTTTACTGTTGAAATTTTGGGTGTCAAAAGCTTGCCTTGTTGGTAGACTCCCTCCCACACCCTCTCTTTCTCTGTGGGAAAGATCTCTCGTAGCCGATATTGGTCTTGAACTTGATCCTTACCTTTACCTCCCAGCTGTTAGGATTACAGGGGCCTGCCCTATGGCTAGCTTTAGCGCTAATCTCTGGCAGCGTCCTCTGCTGCTGGATCGTATTGCATTGTACGCTTCCAGTTCTAAAGAGGGAATTCATTTCAATAACATCCCCCAGAGAAGCAAGCAATGCATACAAAATAAACCGCTAGAAACGAATATAATTTATTTTGCTCAATATTATGTTAGGTTAGTAGCCCTGAACAACTCTGAAAGAGGATTAGATTAATAGCTAGAGATACAGCTCAGTGGAGAGAGTGCTTCCTTAGCACGCACGAGCCCTGAGCTCCGTACCCAGAATGGGACAAACTGAGGGTAGCGGCACAAGTCTGAAACCTTGGCATGAGGGGGTGAAGGCAGTAGGGTCAGAAGTCTGCAGACATCCTCGGCTACAGAGCAAATCTGAGGCTAGCTCGGGCTACATAAGACCTTGTCTCAAAGAGTGCTTAGACTGACAATAAATTATAGAACTTCTCAAATATTTGTTGTTTAAAAAATAATACACACACACTATCATTTCTCAAGGTATCTAACTGATTTACTTTCAGAGTATTTGGTATTAATTGTTAATCTGTGTCTAGTTAACTACTTAAAAGTTGCTAATTTAGGCTGGGCGGTGGTGGCACACACCTTTAATCCTAGTACTTGGGAGGCAGGCAGAGGCAGGCGGATCTCTGTGAGTTCGAGGCCAGACTGGTCTACAAGAGCTAGTTCCAGGACAGGCTCCAAAGCTACAGAGAAATCCTGTCTTGAAAAAACAAACAAAAAACCAAAAAAACCAACCAAACAAACAAAAACCCCTAGATGCAACAGCTTCTATTAGTCTCCTCATTTATTACAGTTTTAATTTTTTCTTTGAGAATTTCATATATCATACAATATTTTATCCTATTAACCCCCAGCTCTCCTTCCCCCAGCTCTTCCCAGATCCATCCTCTTCCTTCCCACCCACTCCCAACTCTTCGGTCTTCTAACTAGGTCTGAATTCTGCTGCTCATGGGTATGGGGCCATCCACTGGACTATGGCCAACCTTCCAAGTGCTGGGGTGAAGGAGTGTGCCACCATGCCTGGCCTTTGAGTCTGGTTTTTAAATGATGGCTTGACCTATATAGTCCAGAAGAGTAGCTGGCACTCTGCCTAGCACCTGGCCTGTCTCATGTTTGTTTTTTCCACGGAGCACATGGAGCTTTTTAACTTTGAGCCTTTACTCCCTTAAGGCGGGCACAAGGAGTATCTTAACTACTTGGGATTTCCCTTGGCTTAGGCTATGCACACACTCTCTTCAAATAATGTAACTAGCAACCGGGACCTGTATCAAGCTGCCCCCATACCTGCTTTAAACAATGGAAATAATAAAATATTAAAAATAGCACCCCCCTGACAATGTCTCATGTTTATGGAACCAGGGCCAATGGTCCTAGCTGGCTTAGACTGGTTTTGAGTGGTGGTGTAAAACAACTGTGCCTTCAAGTGAACTTCTAGGGTGAATCCCCTGCTTAGCTATCTCGTGTCCATGAATTATTGAGCATGCATATGATTAAACTCAGCTGTATTATGGGAAGAAACATGTACAAGTAAGCAATGGCCTACCCAACTTAAGCCTGTCAACCAAAGAAGAGAAACACCCATACTTCACCTCCAAATTCCTCCTCTTAAACTTAGAAAAAGGAAGCCCACTGGGCCCCCGATCTCTTGCTGTGAATTTTAACCTATTCTACTACTCTGCTTTAAATAAATTTTCTGTGCTACTTTGCAATCTGTATGGTCTTGTACTTTACTTTATTCTCAAATAAGATGGCAAGAATCTGGAAATACCCAACCCAGACCCTAACTCCTGGCAACACCCTTCTCTGTGAAGTGGATATAAGGTTGTCACAGAGATGACAGGACATGCAGAACACCTCGACACGATCAGGAAATGACTCCATGGCGGTCATGGTATTTGTTTATTCTCGGCTCCATCAACTTTGGGGTATGTAGGTTTGGATGCACTTTAACCTCTGTCCTCTCCATATGCTCAAGCCTAGAGCCTAGATTAGGCAGCATGGACTAGAGAAGGTAACACCCTAAAAGTGTGAACTAGGAGCTGGGTGCAGTCATCCAGACCTGTATTCCTAGCACTTGGGAAGTGCAGTTCTAAAGGATCAGGAGGCCAAGGACAGTCCCCACTACAAACTGAGCTGAGGCTATCCTTGGCTACATGGGACTCTGTCTCAAACACACACACAGAACCCAAAGCACAACAAAAATTCATACCCAGAAGGCACTGAGAAATGGAAAGAGAGTCAGGTGCTTCTCTAGTGACCCAGTCCCCAAGGGTGGGTGTGGGCATGGAGCGAAGGATGGGAGCAAGAGTTCGGTGGTGACAGCCAAACCCCCTGTGCAGAGGTCACCTGAAGCAGCAGGGTGGACAAAACCCAAGGGGCCTTCCTCAGACCACTTCCTGGGAGAGGGAAGGAAGCCGAGAAGGGTGGGGGATGCAAATCCAAGACTGCTTGAATGCAATGTATGTTTTCACCTACTCTCGGGGACTTCCCCAGCTTCTGCTGCAGGATTCAGCTCGGCGGTCACAGGGAGTGGCATTCTCGGGGATGATACATGGATACGTTCCACTCTCCTGCAGGAAAATAGCACTCCACATGCCACTCAGAAAACAGTGCTGCATTGCGAAGTGCCCAGGCCTCTATGCATTGCCCTCTCCCACTTGATCAGAAAAACCAACTTCAGGAAGACGCGTCCCAAAGCTTGTTTGCTTTGGCTTTAATGTACATCTGCAAGCTTTCAAGTATTCAAAAGGCACCAAGAAGTAAGAGTCCTGAAGAAGCTGGGTGGTGGTGGGGCACGACTTTAACTCCAGCACTCGGGAGGCAGAGGCAGGCCTGAGTTTGAGGCCAGCGTGGTCTACAGAGCGAGTTCCAGGACAGACTCCAAAGCTACACAGAGGAATCCTGTCTCGAAAAAAAAATAAATAAACAAGCAAACAAACAAATAAAAGGCTGGGTGTTGCTGGGGAGGCCATAGGCAAGAGTAGTTGGTGTCAGTGTGTTCTGAGAGACACGTTAAATGGTCTGTGTGCTTACACACTGTGCTTCTGAGGACCGCTATGCTTGCCTTGCCTTGCCTTCTCCTACGTTACATCTTCTACCTCTCTGTGTGACAGCATTCAGAACTGCTCCAACCCCCCACCCAGCCCAGATAATACAGCACAGAATCTCCAGACCCCTGAGTTACTCAAAGCTGTAGAGGCCATGTTTCCTTATAAAGTGACAGGTTCTGAGGATCTGGACAGAAACCTCCCAAGGGACACCATTTTCAGCCGACTCCCACACCCGTTATTGGATGAGTTTTCCATCAGCTAGCGAGCTCAGCAGGATCCATACTTATCCCGTTACAAAGAAAAGGAAACTGAGGCCTTTACCAGTGACTGAATTACTTTAGGTTAGCTAACTTGTGAATGGGTCCCGCTGGGCCTCAAATTTGGGAATTCTGACTTTGCCCTTTGAATTTTTAAAAACACATTTTTAAAAAGATGAATTTGTAAATGGTGTGGCGGGGGGAGAGGAGAGAGAGTGAGAGCATGCTTTCTCTCTTACACACACACACACTCACACACACACACACACACACACACACACACACACACACACACACGCCCTCATGGACCAGAGGCTTTAGACACCCACTGGCACTGGAGTTACCCACGGTTGTGAACCACCTATGTGGAAATCAAACTTGGCTCCTCAGCAATAGCAGTACGCACCCTTGACCCCTGAGCCATCTCTCTAGTTTCCTGAATTCGCATAGAAACCTACCTGGACAACTTGTCAATTTCTGCCATCTCCCCTCCCCAGGCTGATTGAGGGATAGGGCTTAGCTACCTGCATTTCCAGAAGCCCTTCCCCTCCACCTCCTACTGTGAGGGGTCTGAGCCCGGGGACTCCTTTGCCCCAGAGTGAGCTAGCCCACAGCTACGGCCATGCTTAAGGCTAGCTGCACAGGTCACTGACCCACCTCCTCTGAAGGACAGAACTGGTGTGACTTGGAGTTTTGGACCGAAGGTTGAATGGGTGATCTTGCCACAGCTCTATCTCTGGAAGATAGTGCTCAACTCTCAAGTCCAGGACTGCCCAGGAGGCTCCAGTCACGAGGCTCAAGTGGTGCACAATTCTGTCTTCGTTCTTCCAGGACTCCAGCTGCTACAGGGACTGGTGCTAATGTCCTCCAGTCCCGACCTCCCACACAGAGAGCACGTGCTGTCTTTCTAACAGGAAGGCTGGCATCGGGGCTAGCTAAGACAGAGGCACCATCTCCACACCAGGCTCTGTGAGCAGCATCCCCGAGACTGAACATGGTGACTCAGGCATGGTAATCCGGTTACTTATATGACCTGGCCAGAGAGTGCTGGCCTTTGGTATCCCTGTGGGGGGCAGCTC